CACTCTTGAGTGCAGTGCTGCAGAGACCGCAATTGGAACTGATGCAGCTGGTGCAGATGGGCTTTGTGAAGCCAGTGGTGCAAGAACCAAGGCACGAGTTGACGCCACAATTGAAGCCGGTGCCAAGGCAGTTGGCGCACGTCCCGCGTACACCCTTCCCCCTAAGGCAGTTCGAAACACAGGTCGCCTTCCCAGCGCCAGGTACTCCAAAGCAGCGCCTTCCGCAGCTCTGCAAAAGAGGCTTGTTATCAAACAAGCAGTGGCCAAAAGCCTGGAAGACCAACGCATTGAACAATGCAGCCTGAAGGATAAATGCCATTGCGAAGAGCGTGTGTCAGGTGAGGATGCGGGTTCTGTACTGCAAGCCTTTTGAGCAAATTGCTTCCTGTTCAGGTAATGCAAAGCTGCCAAGACTTGCTGTACTCTTGATTTTGATGCAGGCTTGCTGCTGCACGGGCATATCAGAATAACAGCTTGTGCGACAAAGCAGGCATGATTCTTGCCTCGCCAAGAGGAATGGACAACTCCTCAACGACCTCATGACCTACTGCGCATCCAAGAAGTCCATGCCTGAAGAGGTGATTCAGGGCTATAGGGGCTGTTAGAATCTGGACACCGACTTACAGCCTATGTGAGGTAGCGTTGCGTGTTTGGGCTTCTGTGTTCTCTGGGGCTCATGGGCGCGGGCATGAGCATTTGAACGTACCAGATGCTTCCCTGAATGCATTCCATACTCTGGCGGTGTCTGTCTGGCGGAATAGTCGCTGTCGCATACACGGGATGGCAGTCCTTTAACATGCAAGAATGGAACGGCAGCAGACACCAAAACGCCTGGCCACAGTACATGTGGACTTCACCATGAAATTAACACATACAGTATTCGTATTCGGCCGAAAGCCTTCCTCCTGTCAAGATATGTGAAGGGCGAAGGTGCAAGCACTCAAACTTGAAAGCCCGGGGAAAACTTCAAAGGTTCATCATGACCTAAGAAACTCGAGAAGGAAGGTTGAGATCGCAGGGTGCTCCTGCCATTGGCTCCTGAAGTCATCAGTCAAGCTGCAGCGTTGTGGAAGGAAGCTCCGCATCTGATGAGCTCTTGAACCTTCGCAGCGCCAAGCAGGCAGGATCATGCGTGACATCAGTACCAAAGCGTAGCAGAACGCCTGGGTGGTTGACAGTCCTCCTGATCTGTCCGTTCCCCAAATTCTTCCTGGGCACCCAGGGGACAAAAATGCATCAAAGGAACCAGTCATGGCTCAGTGCTACAAGAGCCACCGGCCTGCCGTGATGGACTTCTGCATGCCAAAGATGACAGCTTTCAGTCTAAAAGTTGTAAAGGCTAACATGGCGGCTGGAGCTGTCAAGAACCTTGCAATGGAAAAGGTCCCCGCAGTCGGCATCCCATGTTGGACCTGGCGCGTCGCTCTCGCAGCGTCATGGACTCCACGAGGTCCCGAAGCAACGGCATAGGTCCGAGGGAACCTGGCAGACATCGAAGCCCCTGTTAAAAAAGCTTCCTTCGGCTTTACATGTCCTTGTGTCAACGTCGGTTTTTAAGGTTGTTGAGGGCTATTGGCCGCCACGCTTCTGGGATGATGGGCTTTTCCGCCTGGGTCGGCGGGCTCGTCCCAAAAGAAGATTATAAAGCTGTGGGTTACAACTTTTTGTCGGGTCCTGGGGCATGTGAAGTTCTGAGAGGCGTCCAGACATTTTGATGTTCAGGGTCAGCGCAGTGTTGCAATAGCAAAGGCTAATCCACAACAGGGTCCAGTCTCCAGGTGTGAAGCAGCGTCTGCGCGTGCCTTTGAACCTTTTGGAATCTCCTTCGCCCTCTGCTTGGCTGTGCTAGCGCAAGCCGCACAAGTTGCCAATTCATGTGCAAAATCCAACCCACCATGTCTACAACGAGCACCTCCCGTTAAGACTCTACAACTGACAGCAGCTCGAGGGGGATCCTGTACAAATCTCTGTCTGTGTTCGGCTTTTGGGCCGTTTCCGTTGCCATAGGCTGCGAAATGGCGAAATCTCTGTGTGAACTTTTTGCCCTAAACCTAAACCCCGAACACTTCGCAACCCTTGAAGCCCTAAATCCACAAACAGAGAACGCTGAGCCCTCCACACATATCTTCAAGAGAAAGGGTGTTAGATAGAATCCTGAATGGCTGAAGTCTGTTATGTGATTTTTGCTTGCTTATCACAATCCTCGCAATTCCTTTCCGAGCTATGGTATCTTTAAAGTCTTTGCACTGCGAGCAGCCTTCAATAGTCCATGCCAGCTTCTTGCAGTTAAACAGCTAAACACAATTGGGCATGACCACCTCCAGGAACCAAAACATTAGCCGGGTTCCAACATCAAATTAGATTTATTGCGGAACAACCTAAAGGCAACAGAGCAGATTTCACACCATGAGCACCCCTAATGAAGCCCTTGCCACCACGGCGAACCAATACGTGGCGAAATCCGGTTCGGACCCAGACCCTGTGCGTCACTGTTGTCCACAGGGTTGGGGCTCACTGATTGAAGGCATCTAGTGACAGTCTACCTCCACTCCATCAGCGGCAAGCTAGGCATCAGAAGCAGTGCAGTGGAAATGGCCTGGAGCATCCTTGTCATGACGGGCACAGGTTTCACTATCAGAAAAGATGGTGGCAATGAGAAAATGGGCTGAAGGCTTTTACTGAACAACGAAGAGGTCCACCAATCACGCTGCAGCACGCGTGGATCTCCGGCTGCTGCACACTGTGGGATCTAATGATTGAGTTAATCACATTGAAGAAGAGAGCAAGCCCAAACATGCCCAAGTCACATGAACAGTAAGGGGAAAGCAATTCAGCTAGCCCTTTTTGCTTGAGGCACTCGTGAACTCTTTTGGCTGATGCCCAGGCCCTCTGGGCCGGGCGGTCTGGCCACTCACGAGACGGGCTAAGGCAAGAAGCTGGCAAGAAGCACACAACTCTCACTCTCCTCCTTAATTTGCCAACTCTTTCCAACACCCAAATCTTGGTGAGACAAGCTAGAGGGCGCCTTTGCAGCGCAAGCACAGGTGCAGGCTCGCCGCTTTTCATCACATGTACGGTTGTGTGCATGACGCTAAGGTTGCTGCTGGAAATGTTTTTCTTGACCACTACACATTGGCGAGCTCGTGAATGACTCGCCCGCAGAGGTAGTCGCACTAGCCTGCCATGCAGAACGGACGTAGCTTGCGTAAGACAATGTCGTGATGATGGTCACAAGCTTGTGGCCCTTCGTTGGATTCAGGTTGACGGGCCTGATGCTCTCCAGCGCAAAACCCCCCCTAATGCGTCCAGTGCCAGATGACCCCGGCCTCTGGCAGACCGCAGGCACTTGTAGCCATTGCGGCAACTCCAGAGACAACCTCCAACAAGAGTTTCAATTGACCGCAACACAAATCTGAACAATCACTTTGAGACACGTGCAGGTATGCGATGACCCTCCGTGTACATGGGGGTAGGAGAGGGTGTTGCGTACCCAAGCATCTCACACGGAGGAAGTAGGCTTACTCCCTCAGCTCCGATTCTAATCTGGAATGAGCCGCCTTTTCACCGCACCCGCGGCAATTCTCCCGAATCCAACGTGATGCAAGCAAGTTTCCCCGCCTAGAGGATGGTGCAGAACTTGGACTTCTTTCTCTCGCCTTGCAGAATGTCTGATCTACCAGTATGCGTTCGTGTTCAGGTGTCTGTTACAGTTGCACTATAGGCTTCTAAGAGCAATAGAATGGCAACCGCAGTTATTGTTGAGAAGGCTTGCAGGGACAGGCGATTCTGCCATGCTGGTGCTTGCAAAGCAATGCAGTGCACCTCGACTGCCCTGCGAGGATTGCCAGCATGATGGGGCTCTGGCTGCAGGCTTGTTCATCACGACTAGCCACGGACTCTGAAACATTTTTGCCTCTATGTACATATCCAGTCCACCTTCATATGCATGCCACAGAGGTCCCGGCTGGGGACGTTCTCCGGATGTGGCGGGGGAGGCGACACAGCCTGAACCGTGCAGAGACCGATTCTTGGACAGAGCTATGTAATGTAAAAGAACAGAAATTTGAAGCAGTAAGAGAGCTGCTGTTGGCGATCCCTGATACTGCTCCTTCTGACAAAGCAGAACAATCTGCTACTTTCTAGCGCAAGCCGGTGCTTGGCGATTCTGGCATGTGTAGCTTTCACCATTGCCAAGCCTCCTCGGCAGCAAGACGGACGTTTGCCTGCGAGGGCGTTTGCCTCAGAACAGCAACAGCTCCAAATGCTCCAACACTCTGCCGGCTGAGCAGCTCATGTCATGGCACAGCATGCACAACTTGAACCATGAGAGGCTGAACCACTGAACCACTGACTGACAGCACAAACCCAAGCCTAGCAAATGCCTTCAGTGATAATCAAACTGTGCGCGCTGCGGAATCTCCGGAACTTTGGGCTGCGCATCGTCTGTAGCTGCAGCGCGAACCCCAACGCCTTCCACATCACAAAAAAAAATATGCCCCGATCAGTGAGAGGAAAGGATAAAGCCAAAAAGTCGGTGACAGCAGCCAGAGCGAGGGTCTGGGAGGGGCCAGATACGCAAGACAACCCTTGGACCCAAAGCTAAGCGTTGGGCCGATTCCAAAATGCAATCACATTCCACAGATCTGTCCACAGCAAGGCAAAGCACGCACATTGGCGACCAAGCCGGCTAATCCAATGACGTTGTAAGAGGGCTGAGGCTGGACAGGCTGGACTGCGTTTGCAAAGGAACGGGCTCTGGAAATTGTCTCATTGCAGCTGACATGTTTCTGATTTCAAATTCTTCCATAGAGAAAAACAGCAGCTGATTACAGTATCTGTGAGCCTTTCAGTCCATGTTTTCAATGCAATTGCTGGTTCAACTGCCCAGCCTGTTCTCATGCTGGCATGTCAACGCGGAGCCTAGCCCTTATACTAGAGGCCATTTTGTCCAGAGCCATTGGCCGCAAGGCCTTCGCCCGTGGAGACTTCACCAGGCAGCGCTGGAGTCGCTGGCTCGGCCTGCGGCCTCAGATCACATTCTCCAACCAGGGCAAAAGAACTGACATCAGGCAAACAGATCAGTCCAGTCAACTTAACCATGCATCACAGTTATGATATAATTGAAAAGCAGACGACTGCTGCAAAGTGAGACAGAATCTTGTCAGCTCTGGTCTCTCGTGGTCTGGGCGAAGGGCGCTGACGCAGCTGCTGGAGCTGGAGCCTCCTGATGGGGGATGGCAAGCTGGGTGAAAGCCTGCTACATCTGGATAAACAAAGCAGAGAAGCCCCTCACAGCTAACGCCTGCAAGGCATGACGGGTTGTCTATCATCCAGCGCGCCTGTGGTGCGGAGTCTGCAACTGGGCTCACCTGAACCAAGCTCTCCATACAAATAGTACCAAAAAATCGCCTCCTGCACACTTCGCGCGGAGGGCAGTGCAGTCGCCGAATCCAATAACGCATAATAATGCGTCGCTTATCCAGGGATTCGTGGCTGCACGAATACAAGCAGAATTCATGAAATCATCAAGTCTACAAACAACTGCTGAGTCTTGCCGTCTCCGGCATACTCTAAGTTGAAAGTTGAAACCGTGACAGGCAAATGACATACCACCCTTTGTTGCGAGGGCTATTGTGAGCTAGTAGACAAATTCCTATACAAATAGAGCGACTAGTCAAACAGAAAGATCAAAGGTCCGCAGATCAAACCCAAGGCATCCGGCCGGTGCAGGAGGCTCGGGCGGCTTTTCTTTGGCACCTTAACCACTGCTCAGTTAAAGGGCTGCAAACAACTTGTACCTTCACAACCCCGTCCTCACCTGGAAGAATGTCACGAAGTCTAGGATAAAGGAGAAGAGTAGTAGCTGGAGCTACCGCTGGTCTGCTCCATTTCCGGGTCGAGAGCAATGCTCTGTTGGTAGAATACACTTCGAGAACTTTTTAGATGGGCTGTCAAGAATTGGGAGCCGCACGCACCAGCTCCTCAGCTGCGCCCGCAGCAGCCGAGTCCCGCCCAAACCTGCAGTCATCAAGAAGGCCACCTGCATAGCATCGTAGTTTCTTATTGGAGAGCATGCTGCTTGTCATTGCTATGTGCCAGACACTTGCGGTGCACATGCTGGAGCAAACGGCACAACATGAGGATAGAATTGATTCGAAGATAAGATAATGAAATCAAACCAAAATTGTTGTATGAAAAGTAGGGCTCTGGCACTCGGAAAACAAGCTTTGACTGCAGATACTCCAGGAATCGAGATGTGACTGGGTCCTCCCAAAGCTATTAAGCACCCAAAAGCAATGTGTGAGCAAGCTGCCCAAGCACCCCGGCGGTCATCACAGCACACGACCACACACACGGTCCTGGACGAAGGTGTGGTTGTAATTGAACTCCGGGCTGCAATTGTGCCCAAACCTTTCTTGCAAGCTTCATTTTGAGAACGGTGAGGCAGGGCTTAAACTGGCCTGAACATGAATAGGCTTTGCGCATTCCGGGCACAACCAAGCACAGGACACTGTTGGCAGCTGATGAGGCCTTAGCTGTGACTTGGCATCGGGCATGTTCATAGATGTTTAGTCCGCAGGGAAACTACTGTACTCTGTCATAGACAACTCAATAGGCCTCTACGAGGCATTCAATGTAGCAATGACTTAGCTGTCTTAACACCCCAACTTCTCGGCAAGCTGGACGCACATGGCAAACGCCCCTCTGCAAGGACACTGCATCCAAGTTACTTCTCATCGATGAAGTAGGTATATTCTGCCCGCACGTCGTTGGCAAGCGCCTACACATGGTATTGCTGGTCAAGATTGCAACTGACTCCTAACTAAACTCCATCTGCTTCTTCGGGCAGGATTACATGTACTTTTGCTGCTCTTCAGAAACACGAAAACAGCTTACCGATGTCCACAGTGAACACTACGACCTTCTCAAGGCAGTTGTTGATAGATCTTCTTTCTCCCTACTATCAAAAATGGGTGCACACATGACGCTCGATGGGCATGCTGACCTCTGGGAGGCCAGTCGCACACGGTACGGCCACAAGGAACTTCATGCACGCCCCCAGGAGCTCCTGATGAGGTTTTTCACATGGCGCTGCCGGTAAGCATAGAAGAAATCACTTCGGAAGTTTGAGCTTGATCTGTATCACTGGAACATTTCCCAAAACAAAACTGACGCTGATCTCTAGGCCTCCTTCTCAAAAAGGCCGCATCTGACGTGCAGCCAAAATCACATTGCTAGACCAAGGCCTCCGGATCCTCCACAACTTCCTCGTCTGGAATGCCCATGGAACCATCCTGATGCACTTGGGAGTCTACCAGGTCTGCACCAAAAATGACAAACTCAAGTCGGTTTGATGAACCAAAAGCTTTCTCGGTGCCTGCTCGACATCTCAGAAATCAATCACCAAGTGAATGCGGGCTGAGTGAGTGGGCTTGCAGCAGCTTGCAGGTATGAATGATCATAGGCTTGGCTGGGGCTGCCAGCCTTGGCAATCGGGATGATCTCAACCTTCAGGGTGCCAACCTCAGCGTAAAACAAAAGATTTCTTGCTGTGGCTGTGTGTGTCAGTCAAGTTATGCACTCAAAGAGCAAATGATCTGTCAATTAACTGGACGCGGCAGCAGTGATGTTCACCCGAGCCCTTTCCCCCAAGACAGCTGAAGCCATGGCAGCTTGGCCCTCACTGCTGAGAATCCTGGCGAGGAAGAGCTGCAGAACAATGTTCACACTTAGCATTAAGGAGCACACAGCTCAAACACTCCAAAAATAGGCACGCGCAGAACACCATCTTGGACCTTAACTTGACAGCTTGAAGACGAAGAGAAGAAGGACAGTGCGTGGGACCCTGTATCTGCAAGGTCCAAGCTCCAGCTGTGACTGGAACTCACCTAGGTCCCCCACCCACAACTAACCAAACGTCGCAAATACTACGGCTGGCTGCTCCCGCCCATGCACCGTCCTCGCATCGACCTTGTTCTCAACCTGAAGGAGAACCTTAGCATGCTCAGCAACATGGTCTCATGATATTTGTTGGGAAGCTTTGAAGATCATGCCTTCTATTAAGTAAGAGTCATGCGAGTCTCTGGCTGATGGGAATGCACCGTGTTACAATCAAGCAAACATATGGATTGTTCAGACGAGTCAAGGAAGAACTAACTGGCACACTTCAAGAAGCCCACTTTGAGAACCGACAAGCTGCTCAAAAGATTGTTTTGATTGCCTGCCAGAATGAATCTGGTGGCCACGCTCGCTCGAAGAGCACGGCACACTCTAGCGTATACAAGTCAACACGCTACTTCAACTGTGCGCCATCCACCCAGGCCCGCACTCCTTCAAGAAGGACTTGGGCCACTCCGATCAGCCGCTCCACCTGCACAAGGCCACAAGTGGCTCTAGCATGCTCCAGCCCAGGCAGAAGAATTTTGAGGATGCAAGTAATCTTTGGCAAGGGCTGAAAGCTTGTTACGCCTAGCCAGCGCCTCGATCGGATCCCAGAGAGGGTCTTCCTCGTTGGGCAAGTCCTGGACAGCCTCCAAATACATGCGGCGTTCACTTAGAGTAAGGATGAGTAACTTGCCAGCACCATTGAACGGCCCTGCTGGGCTTTCTAGTTGCGCGCCTCCACGCCCTCATCCTCAGCTCGCTGGAGCAGCTCCCGCAAGATGAAGACTGCGCAGGAGCCGAGAGGGTAATTCGTGGAAACGTGAGATGTGTTCAACCATAGAGGCTCTCAGAGGGACTTGGCGTTCCAAATGCAGCACTTCTTCTGGCCTCTGTTCTCGAGTGTCTCGGGGTTCCACTCGAAAAGACGCACACCTTGGGCATCATGGTCCGAGCATAGTTACTAGACTCCATAGACAGTTTGGGACGGCGCCTGGATCACGAAGCAACACTGAAAAAGAAGTGTGGGCTCCAAGCCCTTTGCTGATGCCTACGACCCTGAGATCCTGGCCATTCAGCATCACTGCAGCAGTCACGTTTACAGCCCTGAGAAAAGTGGTTTGCAGGAATAGCCACAGAAATCACAAAGCGTTCTTCAATTCATAAGACCAGGGCCCTGGCCCACTCTTACCCTCTGCAGTTAGCTCACAGTGCATCTTCGTCTCTAAACGGTGCGGCCTCAGAAAATCGATTGTGACTTCTGAGATCTTCTGAGCACCGCTGCATGCCAGCCGACTACCCACCCCGTTTTGATGTCAATCAGTATTTGCATCCGCGCACCCCAAGAGAAGACATGGTGCCTCTGCAGCTCCTGAATGATGAGGTTCGCCTGGCAACATCAGGGAGGCTTTGATGCGAGTGGGGCCTGTTTGTTCCAACTTCTGGAACTTTCCGGAAAGCTCCCTTAGCAAACTGCCCCCCTAAAACTGCAGCATCTCGCCCCAGCACAACATGCCTCCTTCACCAGAGGCATGACCATCATCAGCTGCTCCTGCCAACACTACCAGTGATGCATCCAGCCTCTCTAGAGTGCCAATGCAATAAAATGATGCGCAGCTGCGTGCGGGCCAAGTAAGTGAACTGAACCTGGCCCTTGCATGTTAGTCATAGAAGCAGCTAAACAGCACTCGTCGCTGTCGGCACCTCCAACCTTTGCATTGCCAACTCGTGCTGGCGATGGCCTTGGCAGGAAATTGCAGGGTCACAGTAGGAATGGCAAACAAGCCATCAAAGAAAGACTGTTTGCCCTGAACAGCCAACTTCGTGTCAAAAGAGTTTACCAATCGGTCATTAGACTGCTGTGGGAGGGCAGGAGAAAGAGCGTCAAGGACTGCTTGATAGCATCAAATCAATGGAAGTCTTTTGCCCTGTCTGTTGCTGCTGAAGCCCGCGGCTGAGTCACAGTGGGACACTTGCTCATCTTGCTATCTGTGCCTTGGTGCCAGGCCCTCCTCCTCAGCTGCTGCCTTCTTGGCCTTCTTCTCCAGCTCCTGATAACATGATTTCCACAAGGGCTTCAAGCAGACGTGCTCCCAGCCTCAATCTTGTGTTGAGCAGCCTCCTCTGCCTTCTTCTGTCGCCTTGCGTTGCAGTAGCTCAGCTTGCAGCTTCATAATAGAGACTGGCACGCTCAAGGCAAGACACCAAATTTGAAGGCTTTCTGCGTCTATCTGCCGCTGCCGCTGCAACTCCAAGCCAGTATTGCAAAGGCCCGAAATACACGAGTATGGCCCTTCAACACCTTGCAGGACGTCAGTGACCCGGAAACTTCACTTGGGCCCGTGCTCCTCAAACTCATGCTGAAGACGCGCAAGCTCCTGAGGGTTTTGGATGGGAGTCTGCACAAAGAATCCGTGTTCACAAACTGCGCTGCAGTTTGGTGATTTGCCTTACAACACCAACTGGCGCGTTGCTTCACTGCTTGGCCTCTCGTTGTCCTCCCCTTCTACATGCTGATGCCAACCAATCCGGAACCCTGAAAGCTAATCCCGACAGCCGGCGCCTCCGCGTGAAGCCGTGCCTATCAGGGTTGGAGTCGTGCGCAAGCAGGAAAAACGAAGAGTGGGACCCCTCCACACGAATCCAGGAACATTTGAACGCTCAGACGTGAGCGTGCAAGGCATCCTGTGCAACCGAGTGGGCGGATGATCTGTATTGCAACTCGTGTTCATCTGGAGGGGCGCTACCGAGACAGTGGGCACGCTTATGTTCTTGAGCCTTGTCTGCCGCAAGGATATCAAACTTTCGAAGTAGTCGGCCTTCACTGTTTACTCGAAAAAGGGCACATAAAGAACCAGATAGAATAATGAAGGAACAGGCGCGCACTGGCCAGGCAGTTTCTCCCCCACCCGGGGCCTGCTCAGCAGCCTGGGCCTGCTCGCTGGCTTCCGCAGCTTGTCGCTGCTGCATCTCCTGGAATACGACGGCTTCCCTTGTTGGGACCAGGGATTAGATCTGAGGCCACCCTGATCTTTGGGCCCCATCCTATCTGAGAGCATAGATATCAAGTATGCAGTGCTTGCAGCAAACAGGCATGATACATGGTGGAGGCTAGATTACATTCTGCGAACAGCATGTCCACTCATGTCATTCACCAACCTCTCAAACGTCAATGAAAAGAAGTACAAGTCACAACAACTACAAGCTCCCACATAAAAACCTTCTGAGATTTGCCATGCCCGCCTGCTCCCATTGTTTCTGCTTTGTCTCCATCTGCGCGCGGAACCTAAGAGCCATGCTGCCCAGCTCGATGAGACCACACTGCACATCACAGCACTTCTCCTGCAGACTCTGCGTCGTACTCTGCCTGCTGCAAACTCTGCCATTTCCATGAGGACTCCACAACAACAGCCTGACAAGCCTATTGTTCGAGAATCCTTGACTGTGTCCCCTTGGCTCCCGACTCAGCTTCTCTCTGCTTCATCAAGGCATCTGCTTCTGCCTCGGATTTTCCAAGTCCAGGCTCGAAATTTGCACAAAACTTGCCCTTGCACCTGTCTCTCACTCTCACTCGCTCTCTCCGTGCCTTGGCCTTCTCCTTGGCCTCTTCTGCCTCTCGAGCCTTCCGCTCCAATTCCTCCGCCAGCTGCCGCGAGGCCTCCGCAAACATGCGCTGAGGCTGATCTCACGCTTCGCAGCCCATCCCAACCTTGAGCTCTTCTTCAGTCGGCCCTGTCACTTCTCCCTGCTGCAGCTCCTTCAAAGAGCCAGGGAAGAATTGCTCTGAGAAAGCAGAAGACATTCCAACCGAGCTGACCATTCTGCCGCGGTCCACAACTCCTTCCGTGCAGCAGCATAACTGACTTGGCCCGAGTTGATGAGCTCCGTGACCTTGCCCTGGCCGGTGGATGGAAGGGAAACGGCATAACCAAGCGAGTTTGTAGCTTGGGTCGGGATGAAGCGATGAAGCCTGGACTCTTAATTTGCAGCAGCTTCAGAACAATATGCCTTGCTAGGCTCAACGAAGACAAAGATGCACCTTGGAGCACTTAGCTGTTGTGCTAAACAATCCAAAGAAACCGCAGCAAAACATGCAATTTGCCCAAGGCTGCACAGACTCACGGATTTTGAAGAGGCTGACTGCACTTCCTGCAGGCGAGGAGCTGTCCAAAAGCCACGCGGTCACCGTGTGACAAGGTAACTGAGCAGTGATGAGAACACGGTTGATTTCGCGCAGCATGCTTTATAGACAGAGACTCTCGCAGTTGTTGCTCGTTCCTGCTCTACCCCAGTTGGCAGGAAGCCCCGTCAGGCCAGGGCAATCAATCTAAATTCGATGTTCTTCGAGAGCACCCCAACACAAACTACAATGTTCTATGATCTGCGAAGCTCCTAATGATGTGTCCATGCAAACCCAGCATCCCTTCTAGTGTCATCATTGGCTTAAGTCGCACGAGGCCAGGTTCTGCACCCTTCTACCAGCTGAAATCGTCTTGGCGCTAAATGCCCTACAACCTGAGGAACAGCGATCAGGCAACAGATCTGCAGGAAGGACTCCGTGATCTGTCGCGCGTTTGGAGATGCTGAGGCTGCAACCTGCCACCCCGGGCTGCAAGGCGGTGCCGTTCACGAAGCTTGTGGCTGCCGCCTACAGACAGGAGAGCACAGCAAGCTAACAGCCATCCGGGTCACACTGAGGCTTCAGAATTCACTACATCCCGTAGTCGCAAGCCGAACGGTAGGCCTACAAACCCAAATGTCATGGCCTCATTTCTTGGGCATCAGTCGTTGCAACGTTGAGAACTTGCAGGACTCTACGAAAAGACAAAAGGGATCTTGCTCTGGCGTTGCTGAGGAGGGTAAAGTTGGATTCTTTGCGGGCGGGTTATCCTGGGGGAGCAGGGCCCCCTACCTATAAACCAAACATGTCATAAGTTGTGGAGGGGTGGCTGGAGCCCACGACGAAAGGCCAGAGAAGGGACCAAATTGAAATGGCTAAGGTTCTTATGACCCATGTGGCTCTTGCCTCTGGATCAGTTGCCTTCAAAGTCACTGTGCCGCCAGAGTTCTCCACAATTGCGTGCTCCTGGGCCAGGCGGTCTTACATGTTGCTTCAATTCGCTTCATTGCTGCAACTGCACCGGTCACTGGCCCTTCTTCGGTACCCAAAATGCTACCATGCACCTCAATCCCTATACCAGTAATTCAGAGAAGTGCAGTCGCCCACCATTTGGGTCGTGGAGCAGAAAAGACAGCAAGTGTAGCAAGAAACACATATCTGCTCGTGGATTCCTGATGGATGCCGGGAACCTGCAGGGCGACTTCCGGCCTTACGAGTCAGCGAGCAGGTGTACTGCACTGTGAGCAGGACATCATGCACAACACTCCCTCAAGAATTGAAACCTTGCACGCAGAACCTGCACAAACTGGCTCCCCTTACGCTGAGTTGCTCAGTTCTTCCATGAGAGCTGGGTCACTGGCGCATTTGCTTCGCCATCCTCTTGGCTGCCGCGGCCAACACGGGTGCGGCCCTCCTAAGGAAAAAAGACACCTCTAGACTCTTCAGCAGTGAACATCTTATCATGCTGCAATACTTTGCACTTGCTCAAATCAAACTTGAGAAATCCCGCAAGCTGGTGCGAGCCTTGAAAGCAAACTTCAGCTTTGCCGTCAGGAGCAGGTCCTGTGGAACACATAAGGCAGCATCAGGCAGCATGCTGCAACGTGCGACGAGGGGTATAGCTTCTATCTTAGAATGTGGATGACTACGGGCACTCTCCAGCCTGAAATCTTGAAGCCGCGAAACCCTCCATTAAGTCCTCGTTGAGGTTGGCGATATGCGGGAGCTTTGTGTCTGAAGATTTCTCTTTCTTTGCAGCACCAGCCTGGCATTCAAAGGCTTCAAACGTTTCTTTCACAGGCAACTTCAAGCAGCCCTCGAAGTAAGAGCGCACAGCTCAAAGCTAAAACCCTCTGGATACCTCACAATAGACAGGAGTCATCGTTGCTCCTTGTTGGGTGGTATCGTATTTGTGGAACTTCCACAAACTGCGCGGATTGCTGCAGGATGCAGTGGCGCAGGCTTGCACCAAGTCTATCAACAATGGGCAAGCTCCAAAATTTTCATAGAAGCACTCTAAATCCCTTGAAAATTTCACAACACGCCACCACACCGACCCTGAACCGCATATGAAATATCAAGATCACTCCTACCATCAAAGGCATGACGACAATGTAGTTGGGGCCGGAACCTTCTGTGCTTCAGACAGACGCTCTGCAAAGCTCTTCTGCATCTCCATAAGGGCCTGCGCTGACTTGCAGCAAAGCATGTGGCCGAGTGAATGTTGCAACAGCTGTCTAGAGATGTCCATGCTGTTTTGGAAGCTAGAACACGGCGAATTCCAGAACCTACATGACAGCAGCCCGAATTGCCATATTGCAGGGCATGTCAAGCCGAAGAGAAGAACTCGTCAAACCAGCCCTGACAACCATGCAAACTAGCCATCAACTTGCCGTAGCACTACTGTACTGCAAAGCCGGAGCACCTGCTCTAGGGCAGCGATCTCAGCCTGCTTGTGCAGCATGTCCTGTGGCCAAGACTCTTTTGAGCAAGACTTACTTAAACAGGCCTACTTCCCCATGAGCCCTAACGCAATGCCATCAGCAGCAGCCCTTCCCAATCCCTGCACTCAAAAGATCTCACACATGACCAGGCATCCTCTCCCTCGCCCTCCTTCGGAGACCTGGCTGTTGCATTGAAATCGGCATGGTGTTCGACGTCTGAGACGAACGATGAACATATGACAGACGTCATAAACTGTGCAGTGCCGGCCCGCTGCCCACCATGTTCCTGAGTTTCTCGTTCTCCTCCCGCAGCTGCCGGATGAGCTTGTCCTCTGCGCAACACGGCTTGCGTTTTGGACGTGAAATACCAAAACAACCTTCACAAGCTGCCTCCAATGAATCTACTGCTGAAAATCGCTGAAAACTCAAGTGCACAGGAGGTAATAACAACTGAAGGCCCCCACAACTGGATCACATGAACTAGGCTTTCACAAGTATGGACCTCAGCACCAGTCTTTGACAGGAACCACAGACTCATCCTGCCCCACGTAGTGTAACTAGCTCCATACCGTGCTCTGACAGGACGATACAGACCGACTGCGCAGGGGACCCAGACAAACAGGTTCGCTAGGCACATGAATCCACAATGCACACACAAATAAATCACCTCAACATAGCAAGCCTTTTTCAGACAACGGTTTCTTACGGTTCCATGGTTGGCTGCTTGTCTTGAGGACTTCCGCAATCCTGAGGGTTCTCATTGATGCTCGCCGTGTTCTTGATGCGCTTGGCACCTTGGGAACCAACATGACAAATCATGAAATTGCATGCCAAAAAAAAACTCATAAAGGTTCCTCACTGCCTTCTTCCATCTTCTTCCCCTGTTCTTGTCCTATAGTCCAGGTGGTGAACCCGCTAGGGTCAGCGCAAGTGCAGCAAATGACACCCCAGGCGGGGAAAGCAAGCATTTGCGCTTGAATGCAGTGACCATTTGACATCAAGAGTTCCATCAGGCCGATGGAGAGCTGGAGTTGCCTTTCACTACATCAGGCTACTATGAAGCGGGTGAAGCGGGTGCAAATTGCTGAGATTCAAAGGGCCCGGCTGAGAGAATTCAGTGCAGAAAAGCCAGTGTGTAATTATGCCACTGCTGAGGCAGCAACTCTCTTCAAAGTTTATCCACTCACACTCATCATGGAGTCCAAAATGCTAAGCTTCATACGGTCGGCATAGCGCAGTGTGGACAATGTCTCTTCATAGTTTGACCTTTGCCACGTACATGGAAATGCTACTTGCGTAACCGCGCAGCCATCAGGATATACGACATATTTGCTCTCGCTGCCGAAAGGATTTTACGCTGAAGCCGCAATCAACACGCTCGCAGAAACCAGTCTTGAGGAGTGGGCGACGCTGGTGAAATTGCACCTCAGATGCGCTTTTCTGACCATCGCCGCATGATGTCCACCACTGCCATCACCACCAACACCACCACCAACTCCATCAAGTGTGACCATTACCATCTCAACCACTGCAGTCACAATCTCCCTAATTTTTACGAACCATGACACAGATCACAGCAACAGAACTAGAGGGCGACCACTGCTCTACCACTACCAGCGCCGACATTATCATTAGCAGCGGAGTTTGCATTTGCATTGTGAGGGACTGGTCCTGACTAGGTTGGGGATTTGCAGCACGTAAAAAAACGTGGGAGTCCGTTCAAGAATATGGTGCGTTTGGGGGTCCGTTTGGCAGTCCGCCTGAAGTCTGTTTGGAAGTGTAAAGTGTAGTCCGTTTGGGGGTCCGTTAGGGAGCCCGTTTGCGAACGAACTCCCAAATAGAATGGACCCCCAAAACGGACCCCCAAACGGACCCCCAAACGGATGCACACACGGACTACACTTTCAAACGCACAAACGGACTTCCAAACGGACGCCCGAACGGACTACACTTTCAAACGGATCTCCAAACGGACTCCGAAACGCTCTGTTTTCATTTTCCAGATTTTCCAGAGTTAACAGACTACAGGCCTTCACAACACTTGCACCACCACTTCCACCGTTGTCATGACGGCCGTCAGTAAACTAATCTCACAATGCCGCTACTGTGGCTGTTCCTTGTTAGACCCGTGAGGATTGTAATCGGGACAGGCGGATGGATGGAAGGATGGCAAGCGATGAAGACGTTGACAGGCCTTTGCGAAGCGATGACAATGACACAGCAAATCAGCAAGGCTAACGGAGATGCAAATGAGCAAGGTGCACAAGCATGATCAAACATCAAGGCGCAACGCTGCCACAACCACTTTGCAGCAAAGAAAGCAGCCACAAAAGCCCAGGCCCTGTTGCAGGGCATACTCGGCAGGAACAAACTCCGGAAGTACATAAAGACTGTTGTCGCTCTGAAGCTCTGCTCGCGTAAGGCGGCGACAGATCATGACGGTCTTGCTTGAACCGCCTGAGATGACTGCTCAGATGTCTCTTCTACCGGGCAGTTGGAGCACGTGTTTTCTTCTTCAATGCACATCTGTTTGGACAATCGACTGGAAGCTGCCGGAAGCAAGTAGGGCTGTGACCCAAAGCGTTCTGCAGGAGCCGCGTGAGCTTCGAGTCGCGGTAGGGGACCACGGCCTAAGAGCAGCCACTATCGTTCATCCACTTCTTAGAAGTCTTGGCTTGTCCTCAAGTCATGCAAGCGATTCCTGTCCAGGGCTCCAGCATTGGCCTTGGCCTTCCCCATGGCCTGGCTGCATCGAGCAGGGGTGTGGGCAGTAGCTTGGAAGTTCTTGAATTGGCGTGCTCATGACGTACTTAGGCAACTTGCCTCAAAGGCATTCATCACCTAATACTGACACACCACCCAAAGAAATCGGAAGGACTGTCCTTATCTGCAAGCTTCTCGATCACATTGCCCAGGGCAGACCTCAGGCTGGAAGGCGCTGGAAAATGCTGGAAGCATCCACACAGAGCCTTTCACTCAGATTGTTCTTAAAGACTTAGCTTTTCAAGATAAGCAGCCGCCAGACATGAGCCGTCAATGTTGTGAGCCCTTGTTAGGTCATGCCTGTTGCCAGCATTCTACGCCCGCCGCAAATCATATCAAGCCATGTAAGTTGCAGGGAAGGACACTAGCCGTGAACGTTCCTCAAGTGTCGCGAACCAAAGATTCGAAACTCATCTGAGACAAGCGGCAGTGACTTGTTGATGGCGCAGCCTTCTTTCAGGCGGTCCCCTGAAGCTCCCGTCTGTCCGGCCTTGCATTCTGAAGTTGCAGAGGTTCAGCAGTCCGCTCAAGCTTTGAAAAGCTTGGCCGGGGTGTGGTTGCAAGTCTTGGGGAAACGTCCAATGCCAGGACCCTGCAGTCTGTGACCCTTCCCAGGCAGAACAAGCAAGCCAGCCGCTGTATTGTAGGCTGGCCTCAAGTGTTCCAGCTTCTTCGTTCGCAACACACAGATCTGGGGCTCCAACTTTCTCGCTGCCAGCCAAGTCCACTAAGTTGATCAGAGACAGCTTCTGGCCTTGTTGACCAGCGGCCTGGCTTGCTTGTTCGGTGACAACTGCTGGAGTCGGCGGGCCGAGACAAGAAAAACGAGTCGTGAGTCACAAAATGTCACAAACCATCTACTTCAGCACCTGTGAAACTTGCTTGAACTCAATGGTGAGCACCGTGTGGGCCTGAGCTAAGCTTTGCAGCTGCAATGAGAACCAGGAAGCATGCAAAGCGTCAAACGACCCGCAGCTGCAAAACAGCTCCAGCAACAGACTGCTATATTGGCCACACAGCCCATATATGAATGCGACGCATGACTTCAAGTCCACAAAGAAGCCGTCACAGTATCGTGCACGGAAAACTGACACCAACAACTCTGTGTGCAGCCCGCATACCTGCGTGTTTGAAACAAGTGTTCCAAGGTAGACCCATGGACCTGGGCCCGCACACGGCTGGAGGTTGCGTTCATCCTTGGATGGCTCAAGGACAAGCTAGCTCTGCTAAAACAAGAGCTTTCGGAGATCAATCGCCCAGCTACCGAAGTTTTGACTCAGGCCGATCCGCCTCACAAACAAAGGAAGAAATCGTGCTCATCCTGCACGTTTGCTTTATCAACAACACATGACTGATTCTTCGACTGTTGCTTGCAGTCTTTCCAGAATTCGCCTCAGTCCCACAGTCGTCTGGAGCCGCAGCACAACAAAACCCTCGAAGAAGCAACACACAAAGTAAACGGCCCTTTATCTTGAGAGAATTTGAGGAACCCTTCATGGCAGAACTTCAGGAAAAGCCCGCGGCAGCCTGTGCGCTACATGCAGCAAAGAAACAGAGTTGAACCGACTGTCCGATTCTCTGTGCCCTCCTCGACCACAGCCTGTACTTGTGTTTGAACAGCAAGGTACAGGACTTGAATAGGTGCACAAAGCGCAGCTGTCGGCCTCAATGGAGGGGTAGGAGTCCACAGGTCTCCTTGACACGCCAGCTATGTAGATGCCCAGCCTCGAGCTGTGCTGTTTGTGCACTCAACAAGCATGGCCATTGGTGTTTGGTCAAGGAAGGCAAGCAAGAAATCCGCAGGTCCCACGAAGAATCCCAACACCTCACACACTAAACCCGCTGCATGATCACACAGACTTTCTTGCCTGCTTGTAAACAGAAGTTCCGCGAATCCAGGTTCTCAGAGCTGTGAAGTTCAAAGTGGCTAAGCCCTGCATTCCAAGGATGAGATGCAAGTAAGAAGTATCCGAATCCCTGCACCGTGGCCCGAGAATCTCACTGCAAGCTGCTGAGGAACATGTCCCCCCAGCCTTCTCGTTGCTTTCTCGAATGTAACATTTCTGTATAGAATTTGATTAGGATTCCAATGAGTACCCACCCCTCTGCCAGCCAAAGCCTCCATTGCAGTCCGTGCTCACAAGCTTCGTTTTTTAATTTGGCTTGAGCTGAGGCCGGTGCTGCTGAGATTCTCGGATCTCTAGGCCTTGCGGGGAAGTTGAGCGCCGCTAGCGTCTCGGTCATGAGGTTAGGTAAAGCTTTTGGGGAAAATTTCCTGCGTCACGTAGGAATCTACTAGACATAAAAAGAATTTCCCGAGATATTTTGAATCCCAACAGATCGTGAAGCGTAGGAGATGCCGCACTGTCCGCTGCGTCGCCTTTCTTTGGGCGCTCACGCGGAGGAACGAGCAGGTCCTCATCAAAAGGTCATGATGCGCCTTCACGAACCAGCTGAAGGGCAGGAAAGTGAAGAACAAGTGCACGTCTTGTGACCCCAGAGCAGTCCTGAACTTGCTCGTTGTAGATTTCAACCATGGACCTTAATCTGAGCCTGTTGCTGGCTCGCTTCTGAATCTCTGTTTCTTGGTATGAGAAATCAAGAACGCAGCAAAGCTGAATACAAAGCACCGGAGACCGCCCGGCTTCGGCAGCTGGAATCACGAGGCCCCTGCACCATGACCTCGTATGTCAGATTTGCGTCCGTGTTGGCCTCAGGGAATGTGGACCACGCAGGCCTCTCAGCTGAAGCGACTAAGACAAACAGCTTGGTGCGGTTGAGGGGCGCCAATCCGTTTGAAGATCTCTTCGCATGAGATGGGAACAATGCCCTGCAACACGCGCAAGCGTGCTGTGAAGTGTCTATAGAATTGACCCAGGTTGCATGCTCATCAGGTATATGTTAGATAGTCTACCATAGGGCAGAACTGAACTCTACCTTCAAGCTCATGTTTAATGGCCCTGGGCCTTGTTGGCACCGTATCCCACCATCGAATAGCTCTTGCCAGCGCCGGTCTGGCCTTGTGAAAGGCTTGGACTCAAGGCTTGAATGCTGTGGCTTACACGGCTGAACTGCTACTGAACATTCATGCGGGCTTGAAAGAGAAGCATGACAGTAGGTCTGTTAAGTACACAGAAGAAAGTGACAGCCAAACCCTTGCCTTCAGCACTTCTGGCAAGATGGATTGTTTCAGGAATGCAAATGTCAAAGCATGAGATGGGGAAATCATAAGCTGTCCAGAAATGATGGATCATCAACACATCTCAGAACTGTCTTGGTCGAAGGCCATAAGCAAACAGACAGCAGTGGTAGCCTTCCCACGCCTGAGATTGGAATCGAAGGTTCAAGTGCGAGAAAAACTTGAGCTTGACTGCTAGGCTCATCTTGAAAGTCATGTCAGAAAGCTGGACAACAATGTGGTGAAAAGCAGGAAGTTTCCAACGTGAATCTAGACCTTTGGAGGTCATGAGAGCCAGAAAACGATAGTCCAAGGTGATAATCCTGAACAATTCTGGCTTCAGACTTCTTCACTTGTGCCCTGAAGGCTGGTCTCATGTAATGTGGTCTTGCACCTGGCCAGTAGACCCATTCGCTGCGACGAAACATAAAACATGCAGGGCCTGACTTTTCAGAACCGCCACATTACATTCCACGTACTCTGAGCCAGCACACGCTGTCCAGAATGCGCCGACCAAAGGTGTCAAAGACCATCTGCTGATCAGCATACCTGAGAAAGGAAGAGCAGAGAGTGGAATGAGAGAGAGGAGGGAGAGGACTGGGAGAGGGCATTGGGGAGAGAGAGAAGCTCTCGTTTTCAGCTTCTGGCCGGCTGCCGGCTGCGGCGTGGCAGTAGCCCTTGTCGTCTGTCTCGAAGCCATCGTGACCTTTTCACCCGTTCTTTTGAGAAAGAGCTCTGTTTAGCTAGATGAGAGAGGAAGAATGCCATAGACCCGGGCTCCAGAACGATGCGTCAAAGGTAAACTTCTTTGGCTCCTCGCATGGTAGGCTCAAAAATATTGAAGTCCGTAATGGCGGAACAAACACTTCCTCTGAGCATGATGCTGAAACTCATGTAAATCACATAAGTTCTACGAATTCTCCTTCAAGAAAGGCATTAGGAATGGTTTCGGGTAGAACCTAAAGACTGAGCATCTGCAAAAGTGGCGCATGGTCATGAATCGTGCCCACACCTTGTTCTTGCCTGCTTCCGCTTGCTCAGGTGGAGTCTGCCTGAGCATGCCACCAATTGCAAGTCTCTGTTGTAAGGTCACGGCGGCAAGTGGAAGTGACTTACTGAAATCTTGTCTAACTGATAACTGTCCTTAGCTAGGGTAAGGACTTGAAGCACATGTCGGGATCTTGCATGAAGTGCATAGAGATCCAATGCGTCTGCGTCAGCTGAATTGGCTAAAGCTCTGCAAAGCATCTTGGCATTTTGGGGTGGAGCTTTCTGCTTGGAACCGTAATGTACCCTGTATAGCAGGATATCTGGGCTCGCAACTTGCCTGCAACCAAGCTGCAAGATTGTCGTGGGGCCATCCACTTCCACGCAAAGCTGCACAAAGCGCAGTGCATTCAAATGCTCAAGTGCCATCGGGGAGTGGCAGTCATGAGAAAATGATTGGCAGAGTCGGCATGCTGTCGTATTGCATTCTGCGGGTCTGCTGTCAGCACCTCTACCCTTACTACCATGGCCTGTGCAAAGAACGAAGCCGTCATAAATCATTTGCGGTTTTTCACATGCCCGCTTGCAAAACAAGGAACAAAGAAAACACGTGCGTGGGGGAAGAATCATCACCTAGACCCCTCTCGGTAAATCACAAGTTTAGTAGACTACAATCCTGGAGGGGCCTTTATAAAAGTGGCCAAATTATCCGAGCATAACTACAAATCAACAGAGGTTCTGAGGTTATTCGAGGCTTTGCACTGAAGCAGTGGGGGGGATTAGAAATCTCCATGATTTCCTGAACCTGATTGATTTAAGTGGTTTCTACAGAGAAACGAAGATTAAAGAATATACAACTTTTTGAGTTAGGAATTTTGTCGATTAGAAAAACTTCTTATTGGTTTCAAACGTCGTTATGAGCAAAAAGCTAACGGAAATCTGTGCACAAGTTGATTGTTTTTACTTCCTAGATGTGTATTGCTTCTATGACTTTTGTACGGGCTTCGAAGGGAGCCTCGTCTAAGTCTTCCAATGAATACACCTCCCCCAAATAATACCCTATTATATCATATCAGGGAGAAGGAAACATATATGGTGAGGGAATGCGATTGAAAATTTGACAAATCGAAAGATAGAGTGATATAGCGAGTGGTGACAAGCGAGCATGCTCTCATGCGGTCCAACCTGCGCATTCAGAGCACGTTCTCGATCATTGAAAGGTCGGATCCGAACCCCAACAGCCACTGAGCACTCCTGGAGCAAGCACTGCTGGTCATACGTAAATGCAGCGGGTCAAGGTTGAATCACGGGCGCTGCCAATAACATAGTATGCAGGGCATCAAGCAAGGCTGAAAAAACCGTCCTCTGCCATTTCAGTGTGATGATCCGGCTATTTCGCGACAACCAGACAAAGCCTTGGAAAATTGTACAGGCGACATCTGGCCGGATGTCTTTGTGGCACATGTCCGAATCATACGTCATACGCTCCCTCACGCTCATTTGTCACCTAGGAGCCTGGGATCCATGTTGCACTGCCCCCATGCATCTGCAATCCTAACTTGGCAAAGCACGTGGCCGAAGTGCACTTTGCCTCTTCATCGCAAAGGCATCACCTCGGCTTCCCAGCAGCAGCACCCACGGATGGGTTGCACAGTCTCAAATCGCCGATTTAATGAAAAACTAACAAGCGAGCCTGAAGCATTTTGATGCCACCCACTGCAAAGGAGCCGAAATGGCCAGTGAATGACAAAGCCGTGTGCAATTAACATGCCAGCAGTAAATGTCTGCGCACCATCGTGTCCGCCTTTAACTTCGTTTTCACTCTTCGATCACCGCTTCAAATGCGAAAATGCTGCACAAATGCTGCACAAGCTAGCCTTCCAATCCATATAAAATCTCCTTGTACACTTGTGCTACGCAGCAAATGCAAGCTCAAGGTAATGCCGAATTGGCAGCTATTTGTTTGCAGAACCAAGTGTCAGTCAGCCATTCCTGGTCAGGCAACAACAACAATTTGTCAAATTGAATTGAGTAAGCTGGAACGTGCTGATGCATAGAACCAATGTCAGCAAAACGACTGTAAGAACTACAAAGTGGTGACTGTGTAGATGATATGGGCTGCCATGTTCCTGGTGCGACGGAAACGAACAACATTACGGTGCTCATCAAATCGAGCATGACTCAAGAACGTCATGGTGCAGCACTGGAAATGTAAGCTGCGTGCTCCACAGGACCCTTCATCTCAGAATGAGAAAAATGCAACTTCGAATACAAGAACAAACGAATCATGACCTATTCTCGACCCGTTCAACGTTTTGCTCGCCCCAGCTTCAACCTGTTTAGTTGTTTGGCCCAAGGCCGCAATCGTTGCCAATCGATAAAAAACTCACCAAGCCAGCCCTGTCTTTCGTTGGGGGATTGAGGGACGGGCACAGAAGCCCTGAAAATGTTTTGTCTTTGAGCAACACACCTTCACACGCACATGTTATGGACATGACCGCAAAAGAAATGCCTAGGGCTTCTACAGAGTCCCACATGAAATACCATGGAAAACGGTTTTGGAATACATCCACCAAATGGACGCTTCAAAATACAGAAAACGTCATCACCCCGCCAAAGGATGGCAACGATTGAAAGAGTTCCATGCTTTCATGACACTTTAAACACAAGTGGACAAATCCACAACAGCAAGTGCGCGCACAAAGTCTGATTGTCCAGTGCCGTGCGTGGGCGAACCACGGTCCAAGGCGGTCTCATACCCTCGTTTTCAGGGCATCTATACAAACTAACCTCCTGACCTCTACGGACCTTTGCACCTTGCACTGCCCTGACACACAGTGGTCAGACAGTCTTAGCTAGATGAACAGTTTGCGTCTTTTGATT